TCACCTTCTCTTAAAATACAACAAATGATCTCTTCTTCCCATATCTCATCTCTTATCTATATACAAATCCTTAAAACCTCATGGTTCAGTCCTGATCAGCAAAAGTGCATTAAAGGCTACCAGAGATAACAACATATCTATTTTAACCTTGATCAAATAAACCAACTCAAAGTTAGATACTAGAGGGAATCAGAAGGAACTAAAGATTACAATTAAAGAAGAACAGTTAAATTTGACTTGTTCAAAGTTAGATACTAGAGGGAATCAGAAGGAACTAAAGATTACAATTAAAGAAGAACAGTTAAATTTGACTTGTAATTCCTTCCTTTTACTTTTTTTTTTTTCTTGATCTTTAATCCCTTCAAATAATGTCCTAGAACTTGATTTCTTTTCATTTTTTCTTTGTCCCTTCTCACAAATTCTTCAAAACTTTAATAAGTCTAAATCCAATATAGGAAAGTTATCCAGATCACTCTTTTTGGTTTGTTATTTGTATATTCCTCTTAATTATTAAGACATCAGCCGGTTTCATTTGTATATCTAGTGTAGCATCTTTTTCCATATCATTCTTGTAGCCTGTCATTTTTAAATCCACTTTCAGATCAGTCTCAGTCTTATCCAGTAAAATTTATTCCTCTTCCATAACATCTTTTAAACAGTCAATCAGTAATGGCAGACACTCTTAAAAGTAACTTCAGGGTCCAAATATCCTTCACTACATCCAATGTTAAAGTATTTTGCTCCATTCTGTGTTAACAAGTCAAATTTAACTGTTCTTCTTTAATTGTAATCTTTAGTTCCTTCTGATTCCCTCTAGTATCTAACTTTGAAAGTCCCATCCTATCATTTTTTTTTTTTTTAAGAATTCAGAACAACAGCATTTTCCCACGGGAAAGATTCTTATAATTAATTTCAAAATCTTATTTCAAGATATTAGTCTATTTGTAGCTTTCTAAAATCAAAGTTTCAATCACCTTTTTGTTGTTTATTCCAAAAAAAAATTGTTTTTTAAGTTCTTAAACTTATAGTTAAAACTTCTTCTGCTAAGGATTGAAGGAAACTCACCTGGTAATACAAAATTTGTTGATCCAAAGGTTCCTAATAGCTGAAAAGCAGTTAACAAGCAATTCCTGAAAGTGATTAGAAAGGAAGTATGATGGAAGGCATGAGCTGGGAGGATTCTGGAATGGAGCTTCAAGGTTACAGGGAGGGCGAAGTGACATTCCAAGCATCTCCTCAGCCCCCAGCTGGACTGTGTAAAAGTAAGGAGGAAGAGACTGACCCCTCCCTAAGGGCCTGATGGTTATAGTTGCTCTTGTTGGGGAATTAGAGTTAGTCTAGAAGATTCTGTCTCTTAGGTGCTAGCAAATAAAGAAGCTGTACTGAGTTCTGGACTGTCTTGTGTGATTCTTGGGTTGAACCTGACAGGAAGTATGCAAACGTAGTGTCCTTTCAAAGGCGTTGACCGTGGTTTGAGCAAGATGGCTATTCCCTCATTTCCCAGAGCTCTAAACCCGCTGGAGACCACTGTCTTGTGGTCTCCTTGCAAGGACCAACCGTCTGGAGCTTGTGGGAGATCTCAAGTCCTCTCCTTGTTTGGAGAGGAATTATCAAAGAGCCGGTCTGCTAGCTGGCTCTTCATTCCATTGCAGTCATTGGCTCTGTTTTTCACGGAGTCATCTTCAGTCCACCATCTCTTCTCCAGAAGCCCCAAGATTCCTGATATTTCCTTATGTTCTCCTTGAAAATGGTAGGTAGATGTTCAAGATCATATTGTGGAAACTATTTGTTCTAATCACCCTTTTGGTCTTTATTCCAAAAAAAGAAAGAGGAAGGGAGGGAGGGAAATGTTTTAAATTCTTAAACTTGTATTTAAAACTTCTTTTGCTAGGAATTGAAGGAAACTCACCTGGTGCTATAAAATTTGTCATTCCAAGGGTTCCTAATAGCTGAAAGGCAGTTAATAAGCAATTTCCAAAAGTGATTAGAAAAGGGACTATGCAAACTCTGTGTCCATAAAGGCGCCAACATCAGTTTAGGTGAAGCTGGCATTCCCTCATCACCCAGAGTTCTAAACCTGCTGGAGACTGCTGTCTTGCAGTCTCCTTGCAAGGAGTAACTGTATGGAGCACTTGTGGGTGATCCCAAGGCCTCTCCTTTTCCAGAGAGGAATCCTGAAGAGCCAGTCCACTCACCAGCTCTTCATTCTGCCATGGTCGTCGGCTCCACTCTCAACAGAGCCATCTTCAGTTCGCCATTTCTTCCCTGGAAGTCCTACTTGATACCTCTTTTGGAGATAATCAAAATATTTCAGCTTTTAATATTGCTCCTTTATCTACTTCCTTTACAAATAATAGCCTTATAAAAATCAGAAGTTTAAACACATATTTGTTCTCTTATACAACATTTTCTTGAGTTTATAAATTTGAAAATGAAGTTACTTCTCATCCTTTTTTGTAGAATTTTTCATGTGTAAGCCAAATTGTAAACTTATTTTATAATATATATACAGTGGTACCTCTACTTACGAACACCCCTACTTACGAATTTTTCGAGATACGATCAGCTCCAGCCCCAAAAATTTACCTCTACTTACGAACTCGCCTCAACTTACGAACCGGATCCACGGCCATTTTCCGCCCATTCCACATGGTCCGCGGCCATTTTCCGCCCGTTCCGCATGGTCCGCGGCCATTTTTCCACCCGTGCCACATCCACGGACA